AAGAACAGCTAAGCAGAAGTTACCAGCTCTTGCAGCTTTATACGAGAATATACATGTAATGTAATGTAAGAAGGGGACCATTTAACACAAAAACATGTATATTCTATTAAAACTAAATAAATAAAAAAAGGCAAACTTATTGTTATTGTAATAAGAATTTTGGAAATTTCTTTTTAACAAAAGGAAAGAGAATTGAAAATCTCGAGATTAGGAGATTAATGAGATGAGAATTTTTTTTTTTTTTTTTTTTGGTTAAGATGGGAGATTTAAGAAGAAGAAGAAGAAGAAGAACACATGCACGCATGTGAGTGTCGTTTGTGTAATATCTTCAAACATACTCATTGTGTTGGATTCTTGAAATTAGCAAAACACTCACTTTTGTTTTCAATTTTTACTTAAAACTAGGATTTACCCCGTGGTACACCACGGGTCCATAATTTAATATATTTATTTGTTTGATCATTTTCGTAGTTGATTTATATAATTTAGTTTTGTATATGTTTATTTTATTTAATTTAATATAATTTTATAAATTTTTATTATTAGTAAATTCATAGATATATATGGTAAACCTGCAGTACATCGCGAGACAATTTTGTTGTAAATAAAAAATTATATTTTAACTTGACCCGTAAAAGATTTTAAATATAGACAACCCGCAGAAAAATATAATCATACTTATGTAAACTAAAACCCGTTCAATCATATTATGTCCAATATTATTATATTTTAAATATTTGTTGAGTTAAAATATTAGTAATACTTTTAATTTTTGTAGAGTTTAAATATTTTTCACTATTTTAAAATTCTATAAAAATTAAATAAAATATCAGAATTTTCAGCTTTTTAAAGTTTTAATATTTATCACATTTTAAACTTGTTGAAAAATTAAAATTTATAATATTCTGAAACTTTTTAAAAATTTTATTTTCCTTAAATAAAGAACCGGATTAAGCTAATAAAAGTTTTAATTTGGATACTTGAGAAATCAAAGTTCATGCTCATTTGTAGTTGTAAACATATTAATCTTATTTATAAAGGTTTTGAACTATTATCTAAAATTTTATATCTTATGTAGACGTTGTACATATATTCTTTTCTTTATTGATTGAGTTAACTACGTCCGTTTTCAAAAATTTAAATTGCAAAATGTGTGGAAATTTTTTTTTATTTTTATTATAAACATATTTTATGTAATAATATAAATTTAAAACACATAAGATTATATAAATATATTGGAGAGAAATTCGGTTTATTAGAGAGGGATTTTAGGAAAAAAATTTATGTAATAAATATTTGGTTTCCAATTTTGGGATTTGCTTGTGATTTAATTACAAATTTTACTTTTAAGTTTTGTTATTTATTCAAATGGCAAGAGTTTAATTATGCAAATATTACAAAATAAAAGGTTATAAGCCAAAATAGATTTTAGTACAAAATGTACTTCAAAAATGTTAAGATAGACGTGGGGTTCCTTAATCTTCTTTGTCCTAATCTTTACTCAAAGAATCCAATCCTTCCCACTAATCTTTCTTTTAGCGTGCGACTGCGAGTGCGGTTCTATATGTATGTTTCGGCTCCACTATCTATTATCCTTGTCAAGAAATTTTGAACCAGATTACATTACAGACCATAAACTTTCTTTAGTAATGTAATGTAATGATAAAGTTATACTAGATATTTTATTCCTTTTTTCTTTATTTATAATAAATGCTTTTAATTGTTTTTTACTATTATTAATAAGAATTGTTATTACTATAATCATCACATTTAATATATTTAAATTGTTTATCAACCAAATTTACATTTTTGGAAGTTTGGAAAATTACAAGATCGAGTTGAACATAAGTTCGTATTCCCGCTACAAAATTTAACGTTTGTGTTAAATTTTATTGTTAATTACGTAGATTCGACATTGTTATGTTTGTTAATGAGAATAATGTGTTGTCTATCTATTTGTTAAGATTACCTAAAGAAGCAAAGTTGATTTTCATGGTTAGAATGTGGATAGATTATCAATCTTTTCCAAATTACCAAATTGATGTGTTGACCACGTATTGCGATATCGCTAAGCGTTGAATGTAAAGTCAAACACCAAGAATTTTATTTATTTTATTTTGTTATCAAAAGATGATGGAGAATTCATCCCTCCAAGATAAATCATACGAGTTTTATAAATGGTGAATTTTAATATTATAAAATTATCTTCTTTAAGTTTACTAGATTATAAAACCTTTATATTTTAATTTTTAATCATTGGTTAAATAACTCTTAAAAACTTTGTTTTCATATTTGTTACTCTTTTCATTTCATTGTAAAAGTTCATTATTAATTGCTATCAATGTTCACGCATATATGAAAACAAATTTTGAGGTAAATTGATTTATGTTATGTTGCCCAAAAACCTACAAATAGTAAATTATAGTGATCAATCTAATTCCTATCAAAACCGTATATGCAAGTTTTACAAGATGAAACCATCCATATGCATTAACTTGTCATAATCACGAAAGAGTGCGCAGCTGGTGTAAAATCATAGTTTGTTTTAAATAGTTTTACGCATTGATGCATAAGTGTAACCTAATAAGTGATAAACGTGTTACTGACTTCGGAGTCCTCTTACTGAACTGATCAATATAATGAATCAAATTCCATATAATATTATGAATTTCATTAGGCCACACCACAGTGATTAAACATGACACTTTACATAATATATAGTTACAAGAAAACAAAAGATTATATTATAGTATAGGAAGATAACCATAAATATACATATTTCCAAATCCAATAATGCGAACTTGACTAAGTCATGAAAGACATTTTATAGCAAAATATTCTTCTATTATTGTTGTGATTAGTGGTGGAATGAGATTTTGTCCTCACCTAAACTAACTGGTTGAAGCTTCGTTGTCCGACGAAGGTATGTTTAGTTAATGTTAACGCAGCTATATATATATAACCAGCTTGGCCACGTGAACTTTGACTTCTCTTCGGGTTAAACTTTTGCGCTTTATTAAACTATAGTTAAAAGGATGATCTCAACCTTTAATTTGTATTATAGCGAGTTAAGTAAAACTAAGCTGTTTGAATTTTCGAAGTTTTGTACACATGTGCATTGTGCACTGACTCACGAATAAACCATCGGATTAATTTATATATTATTACATGGATAAGAATAATATAATAGTTCATAGATAGATTTAATTGGTAGATATTTGTAATTTTGGTTTTGATCCGGAAAAATTTGAAGGCATGATCTTAATAACCAAACTTTTTCCATCAAAAGCTTTGTTTATATGTCGTGGTAGTTGTTTTCACTCGTAACCAATTCGTATTCGAGTGAAGTATTGTATTTAGATAATAATTTGGATCCTTTTACACCACTATCCAATATTTTTTTTTTTCGTATTAGACAACATGAAACTCTCTATCTAAAACTCCATGTAAATTTATTTGCGTATGCGTTTTTTTTTTTTTTTTTTTTGGGTCAGCTAGTTGGGTATGCTTATTATATGAGTGTACATGTCTATCTACAAAATAATTAAAAGTAAAAAAAGAAAAAAACCAAAAATACGCATGCAATAGTGAACAATGATTCGGACCTAAACGGGCAAAGTGTGTTACCTTATTCTTACTTAGTATTGTTGCTTAGGATTCTTGAAATCTTGAATTTTAAATGCTGTTTATAATAATTTATGTTTTTACATTTTCTATGCTCATTGTCCACACACAAAAGCTCCTTTGCTTTTAAATGCGTTTAAGTTTCTGCCTTTATGCTCTACAACCACAAGTCAACCCCAATTTTTGTTTCAAATTCTTTGTCTAGAAAAAAGGGAAAATATACTAAAACAAAAAAGGTCATTGTTTTAGAAAAGCCGAGTCTAACATGGGGGAACAGAACTTATATTTAGACAAGAAGGAACTGGAATCGAGATTTTTCATTTTGAGGGTGTCTTATTATCTAAAATGCGAAGATATTATTATTACATGTTCGCTCTATTGTGAATGTAAAAGTAAACTAGTGTACATACATGATAAGTTTACCTCACATTCCACTTTTACAAACAAAAAGGTGAAAAGAAAGAAGAAGAGACATAAGTAATATACAAGTCCGAACAAAATCATTAATAGATGTCGCGTAATTTGCATTTGCCTTTTAGACAAAGGAGGCGTGAAGAGAGAGCCTTTTACGAGCCACATGGGAAACAAACTCACCACACGCCTCGGCTTTCGCAACCGTCACGCTTTTTACGTCAAGCTTTTTAATTTTGTGTGATTTGATTTTCATTAAATTTTTATATGATTTTGATGGTTTTGGGTGACTTTAAGTAAGTTGATATGATTTATTTTAAAATCCTTTCAAATATCATCTAAAACCATGAGATTTGGATTTCTGAATTTATAAGTAAAAGAATCCTCCAAAATCCTGCAGAATCCTTTAAAATTTTAAAAACCAAATCCTCAAAACATTTCCAATAACAATGGATTTTAAACTATATTTTCAAATCACTAGTTCAATAACATTGGATTTCAGAAGATTTTAAATTAGATTTTCAAATCACTACTTCAATAACAATGGATTTCAGAAGATTTTTTAAAATTCATGATTCAATAACATAGGATTTGTTGGTTTTCCATAAATCACTTAAAATGTTAGATTGAATACACCCCCCTTATTGTATACCTAGCGATTGAGCCACCAAAGGTAAGAAAACTAAAAACTCAATCATGACACGTGGATAATAATCATGGCTAGAAAGGAAAAAAAAGCTCCGTTGCCGGGACTCGAACCCGGGTCTCTCGGGTGAGAGCCGAGTATCCTAACCAGCTAGACTACAACGGATTGTTGTTGGCCATGCCTCCCAAATATATTTAAAGGTTGTATGTACTCTTAAGACAGTTTAGTTGTCTTAGACAGATGAAGATGAAGTGATGATACTTCGTACTCTTCTATGGTTGTCAGTTATCACGCTATTCTACAAACCAGAAAAAAAGGATTAGTTAAGAACAAGATAACATTTGAAAGAATCAGTAAAATGTACTCGTATACAAAAGTGCTATAACGCTTATTGTTCATGAGTGACTGCCGATAATTCGGTTCACCTTCAGTTTTATCATCAAGAACACAGTTTTATCTAGTCTTTGTACATACATATGTACACATGAAATGATACTTCATCAGAAGCTTCTTGTGCATCATAATGCTATTATACTACAGTTGAGACAAGGGATCATAAGCTTCTAAAAGATTTCTTGAATGTCCTCAATCTTCAGCCTTCGGTTCTTACTTCACCATTTAGCGAAACCCTAAAGAACATTTCAAAATGTCAGCATCTGTGAAGATCATATTGTACACAAGAGTGTTAAAAGGTGTATTGTTCATGGCAGCACATCTTTAGGTTTACCTTCAATTGTTCAGTATAAGACTATTTCAACTTGCATTGTCGCTTGTCACAAACCGATCTCATATACTCATTTGGGAAGGCTGGTGACCATTTTTATCCACCCAGACTCTTTCCAGTCGCTCTCCTTTCAAAGACCAAGTTGCAAAGGTATTGAGCATTTGCTGGTCCGGTGCTATGAACCATCCTGAAGAAGGCACTTGTATCTCTTGATAGCAATTCTTGTGGACTATCATACTCCAAAACCTATAAAAATATATATACATTTCCCATAGTTTTATGTTTTTTTTTTTTTTGGTCGACCAAAGTTTCCCATAGTTTTATGTAAGTCACACAAGACTCCCTTTGATCATTTCTGACGAGAAGATATAACTTAGTTCCATGAATAATAATTCTGGCATTACCTGACCAGAACTAAGCACAAGGATTTTGTCACAGTCGACGATGGTATTCAATCTGTGAGCGATAACAAGCATTGTGCAAGACTTGAATTCCTCGCGGATGGTCCTCTGTATCAGAGAATCTGTTCTGACATCAACAGATGCAGTTGCTTCATCGAGAACAAGAATCTTAGATTTTCTTAGCAATGCACGTGCTAGACTTAGTAGTTGCCTTTGCCCCACGCTGAAATTCTCTCCTCCCTCAGAGACCTTCACAGAGTAAGAGTTTGATTAATCATCTCAATCATGACAAAACAAAGAATACTTAATAAAAAAAACTCTTGATTAAACTACACCTCTGCATCTAGGCCAAAAGGATTCCTGCTGATGACATCTTTAATATGGGCCCTTTGTAGAGCCTCCCAGAGGTCAGCATCATTGTGCTCACTAAATGGATCGATATTGAATCTCACCGTCCCTAAAAGGACGAAATGATTCTCATATGAATAACAGAATGTATGAATATACTGACAATGTTGGCTTAAATTAATTACGAACCTGAGAAAAGAACTGGTGATTGTGGTATGATACTTAGGACCCTGCGTAAATCTGTCAGTCCGAACTTAGCCACATCATTATCATCAATCATAATTCTGCCCTTTTCTACTTCCACGATCCGAAATAACGCATTCAGCATGGAAGACTTTCCTGCCCCAGTTCTTCCTACTACTCCTACTTTCTCACCTGGAGAAACACAAAAGGACAGTCCATGCAATACTGGAGGAAGCCCGGGTCTATAACGCAGGTGAACGTCTTCAAACTTGATGGATCCTCTTGATGGCCAGCCAGATACTGGACGATTGTTCTCGATTATCTCTGAAGCCTCAGAAGGAAGATCAATGTAGTTACCGACACGCTCAACAGAATTAAAGCTGTTCTCTGCTCTGCTAGCTTGCCTTAGAACACCACTTAACAGAGTAGTGATATTCAGAGTGTAACTTAAAAGGAGACCCATCGTAGATGCAAAAGCAGCTTCGTTCTTTGCATTCCCATTTTGCAGAACCGCAAAAGTTGCAGTTAACCAAATCATGATACCACCAAGAGTCTCCAATCTTATAGTGAGCCAACGATTTGAGCTCGTATTTGCAAGAGTGAACCTTATGTTGTTGTCCATGGATGTTCCATTAATCTTCGCCATCCGGTCGTAGGCTTTATAGGCTCGGATGCTTGACAAACCATTCAAAGCTTCTCCAAACTGAGCATATATAGGTGATCTGGTAATGGAATCCAAACGTCTAACTTCGCGAGATGTGCTCTACAAATCACAAAAAGTGATGTTAATTCCAAGAGAATCAAATGGTTTAGCAGCAATTCTCCATGTATTATACGCTCTACAAGTAAAAATAGTCAGGCATAGAACAAAAAATAGAGATATGCTGATAATAATAAAAAGGAAAAGTAAACATCGACTTGATGAAGAAAGTTACCTGATAATAGAGATATGCTGCATAGAACAGTATTAGGAGTGGCATTATTGCCCACAATGAAATTGTACTGACAAAACCTATAAGAGCAAATGTCGAGAGAAGTTGCCACAACTGGTTCATGAACATATTCATAAGGTTGGCAACGTTTCTATCTATATCACCAATATCCTTAGAAAATCTGTTTATTACACGTCCAGTTGGATTAGTGTGAAAGAAGAGCATAGGAGCTCGAAGAATAGAACTCAGCATCGCGTCATGGAGTCTTTTGGCAGCATGTAAACTTGATGTGATCAGCCAAAAGGAGTTGGTAAACGTGACAGCCACCTAAACAATGATCATAAAAGTTGTCAACTTCATATAATTTGTCAAAATTACAGAATCTTAGTCTTTTAACGAAACAAACCTGACCAAATCCGAGAAGAGCATATACAACAATGTAGAAACCGGGACTATAACTCTTTGATGTGCTTTGATCAGTCCAAATACTTAACCATGTGCTACTTGAAACTCGGAGAACTTCAGTTGTTAAATAACATGCCAATAGAATTATAACTACCCATAAGCCGCCAACTGCTTCTTTGTACCTGAAAATTATAAAGCATTTTATAGCCATTTGTTTGTATTAAAATGTAGAGAAATGTTTTGTTTTTCGTTTCAGATGAACCATTAAATGTTGAGCTAAGTACCTCATCAGAACATTCCAACTAATGATGCCAGTTTCCCGCTCTTCTTGCTTTACAAGCACGGATCTTCTCCGTTTCCCTTGCTTGGTACTGCCCTGATTTCTTTCACTCACATCAATCGTGACAGTACGAGCCGGCTTCAAAATGTCCTCGTCATTTGTATTGACCTCTTGGGCATCCATTTTTCCAGCATTCTCCATTAGTTTCTGGAACAAACTCCCACTTTTTGACAGCTCTGCAAAGGTTCCCTCCTCTTTAATCATTCCTTCCGAGACTAAAATTATTCTATCCATTAAAGGAAGAAAATGTAGCTGATTTGTGACAAGCACCCTCGTTTTCCCCTTCAGCTCATTCTTCATACAGCTATCAAAGACCTGTTTATTGATTCATTGAAGCTTGTCTTAGATGCACCTTAAAGGTGTGTTTCTCATAATTATCAATACAATTTATGTTCGCCTGAAGAGATTATCATTTATGTGATGGATCAACCATAAGAATACCTGGTGAGCAACATTAGCATCTAAAGCACTCAAGGGATCATCGAATATGTAAACATCTGAATTTGAGTATACTGCCCTAGCCATTGACACTCTCTGCTTCTGCCCTCCACTAATATTCACCCCACGTTCTCCAATTTCAGTATAATCACGGCCCTGGATAAACGAAATTCAGGAAGTTACTAAGTTATGTCATATCAAGTGAGATATTATTGGATTGTGTAAGCCTTTAATTCGACTTAACTGGAAGCAAATCAAGATCGTGTTGTAAAGCAGTCGCATCAATAGCCTTCTTATATCTTTCAAAATCAAAATCTGACCCAAATAAAATGTTTTCACGCACCTGCAATACATAGGCACTTGTATTGGAACACTTCTTTCCGAAGTAATTAACCAAACGAAAAAAGCTACTAAAAGTTATAATATAGTTAGGTTTTCAGAGCAAGCGAGAAATAAAGGGGACTCACAGTGGCATTGAAGATCCATGAAACTTGAGGAACATAAGCTACAGAGCCTCTAATAACAACGCTTGAGGTTTCAGCGTGAGATAACTCCCCCAGCATTGCCGAAATAAGTGATGTCTTACCTTCTCCAGTTCCACCGACGATGGCTACCAAGCTCCCCACCGGTATCTCCAAATTGATATCAGCTAATGTGGGCTTGGTTGTCTGAATATTCGAGAAAACACCGTAATCAGAATGTTATGTATAGTACTATGCATTGCAAAGCTAATATTGCATCGCAACATAATTTAAAACAAGAGGGAGTGTTTTGAGGATTCACCTTTGAATCCCATGAAAAATATCCATTCTTAATTGAAATGGCTGGAGCTCCTTGTTGAAGTGGTGGGTTTTGTGCTAGAATTCTCTCTTCACTTAAAAGTAGTTCCTCAATGCGTTGAAGTGAAACATTTGCGTTGACAACCTAAGAAGAGAAGTAGCAAAGATAATTAAATATGGAGAGTAAATCCATTGGCACATGATGGATGATGGATCAAATGCAAACTAGTAAATTAATATAGTTAAAATATAACTGAGTTATATAAAACAGCTGAGGAGGTATGACTGTTAAAATAACCTGACTTAGTAGATTTGGTAGCATGTTGAGAGGAAATCTTAGAACTGCAAACAGAGAAAGAGATGTGAATGCCCTTGCTGGTGTCAAATCTCCTCCAAGCAGAACAAAAACCCCAAATGAAACCACGGTCACAACTACTGGAATGCTGTTCAGTATAAAACTATTAAACTGCCAGAGAAAAAGAAAAAAAAAACGTCAGGGTATTAGTTGTTAAAAGTGGAAGACATATCCCTATATGTAAGTCATATACGGAAGTAAGCGCATACAAGATAGGTAAAGCCTATTAAAATATGTTAGAGAAATTACAGCCAGTATAAAATCAAAGATAAGGAGTCATACAGCTGATAGTAACTGCGCTTTACGAAACCATGAGAGCTCTTCATTTCGAATTTCTTTAATCCGAGACTCGAAGCTCTTCTCCCATGCATAGCATCTAACAAAGTTGGAAATTCCAAGGAAAAATAGTAGAATAACTAGTTTAACAATTTACCATTCAAAAAAGCTGAAACAGAAGAAATGAAGATTATCAATCATACTTTACAGTATCCATGGATGCCAAAATCTCATTCGTGATACCGACTCTTTTGTCAGTCCACTGGAGTCCTTCTTTAGTCAGTTTCCTCATTTTGCTTATAATCAGAGTCTGTTTATCAAAGATATAGAATAGGTGGAATTGTATGTGAACATATGCATTTACCACAAAACTTGTACAATTTAAAAATAGATTTAACAACAGAATGAAGCTAAATACCTGGAGAGGAATTAAGAGAAAAAGAATCAACGAACCGAAAAGTGAAGCAACTCCTAGTTGTTGATAGAGAAGAATCATAGACACAATGATGCGAAAGGGAGCAGACCATAAGCCGTGTAGCTGTTGCGATATTTGCTGGAAAAATCAGGAGATTAGCAGCTATAAATCCATCGTTGTGATAAGTAGTATGGATCAAACTGAGAAAGTTAGACGGGACGTTTAACTGAACCTAAGTATACCTGAAGTGCATTAGCATCTGTAGTTATCATGTTTGTGATCTTCCCTGATGCAAAATTCTTGCGAGCTTCATGAGTTAGTCTTAGAGATTTGTGGAATATAGCTGCAACCTACAAAGTATTTAGCAAAATTAGTTGGAGACTAAATATGACTAAAGCGATCATACCAGTTGGAGAGATATGTACGTTTCAAATTTTTTTTACCAGAGTTGATCTCAACCGAAATCCCACCCGCCAAACATTCTGATAATACTGGGCTTCACAAAGCACTCCAAGTGTCTGAAACAAAATTAAACAACATGACAGTTTGGAGAAAAAGTAAATGAACCACTAGAATTTTAGAGATCAGAGACGAATTTTGTGATACATACCACCCCAATGAATATTATGAAGGCGTAGACATAGCCAACCCAAGCTGGATCACCTTCTTGCATTGACTAAAAAAAAATGATTAAAGATTTGTTTAGGTTTAGACTTAATAAACCAAAGTAACACGGGACAAGTTGTTACAAATGGGAGATAAGAATTAAGGAGATCTGCAGAGTACAAGCAGCCAATTAAATAGAGCTCATCACTCCTGTATGAGAACTATAAGTCACTGCGTTGTTTTCTCGGTTTTATATATTTAAAACCTCAAAAAACAATGAGTAATGATCGTTGAGTTCATGTTAAACATAACTCAGGGGGCAAAAACAACTATGCAATATTTGTTACAAAGAGACCTTACCCGCAATAGATGGCTCAGTATAACCGGTCCAACAAATTGAGAAAGATCATTTCCAATCTACAAGACGCGAAAACATGATGTATAAATTGCTTGAGAGTTGATATACAGAACTGAACATTAATGTGGATGCAGGTCAAACCTGATGCACTGGAAAATAACAATCAAAAGCTTTTTTGGGATCAATTTTAACCAGCCGAGAGGCAAGATCATGAGTTTAAGCAACCATCATTCAAAAAGAACGAAAACTAAACCCCAAGTTTGTTACCTTGAAAATACCACCCAACCAGAACCTACAAAGACAGAAAAGAGAAAATTAATGCCAGTGTCTATAATGTGTGGCTTTAAGGAAAACTACATGGACAGACCGTTTTTAGAAAAATCATCATATTTTACCTTCCACCAAGGCTACTATTTAGTACCCGAAGAAGCCATGGCTTAGGTCTCCGAGATTCTTCAGTCCAGCACCTTTGGAATCTGCCAAAGCACTCATCCAGTGAATAAGAATGTTTTTTATTCTAAACGAAATCTTCTACCAGAAGGCAGAAGCCAAGCAGCAACATTTCTGTACCTTTTGATCAGAGTTTCTGTTTGGTCCCATTTGTCTAATTGCCAAACATCCTTCTCAGTTATAGGCTTTCTGTAGCCTAACTGCATAAGCGGCGTGATCCAACCAAAGTATATTCCTAAGACAAGAAACCCAAATCAGTAAAATAAAAAGAAACCATGGCTATCATATATATTGCCAAACAAGTGTCATTTTCCAATAGACTGAGCATTAACTAAATTTTGTTTATCAGTTCCGGGGATACCTACTGGAAAATATGCTGGCATGTCGCTCAGGACATATGTTCTCTCCCCCAGGAAGTGCATCATATTCAGTGTTGTCCAATAATTCATCGTTTAGAATATGGTACCCCGGATAAGGATCAAGATCAGGAATGTAAAACAGAATAAGAATTCCAAATAGAGCCTGCAATATAAGACAAATGAAAACACAATTAGTAAGGCCAAGAATTTGATTGTGCACATGGCTAGCCTCTTCTAATAGCTAGCTATCTATAATGTAATTTATATCATCCACTGTACAGATATTTCTGTAAGTTTGAAGATTTTGGATGCGATTCTGAAGAACAATAAATTGCAAACTTATACATAAGAAAGTTGTTGTAACAAACCTGGGAGCATCTCGAACTGATACAGAGATATAAGGCAGTTCTGCAATAGAAAATAGAGGAAGTCTTATTATGAAATTCAGGGCTAAAGCCACCAATTCCCCAAACCTTTCCACACTTACAAGAATATGTTAGAATATACAAATAAAGTTTTGAAATTTAAATGTCCAATCACCAAATAGAGTTCATTTATATGAAATATACAATAACAAACCTATTGATTGAGTTCTTGAGAGGCAACACGAGGTCCAGCAGCACAGCATCAGCAACTAAAACATAAACAACACCGAATCTCACGTACCATCGGAACTCTTTGACATATTGTTTAGTTTCCAGCCCAACCAAAACAAGCATGGAGAGCCAAGCGAATGCCTCTACCATTAAAGATGCAACCTGCCATTGAATAACACCAGGATCATATATTATTTCTGATCTTGAACTTTCATTTCAACAAGAAGGGCAAATGAATTTAATCTCTACACGGCCATATGATTAAGAATCAGAGTTACACTCTTTCAAAATCACCTCAAAGGGAGGAAATTTAGTCTCTTCATCCATGTCAAAGAGTGAAATCCCCATGACCAATCTCAGTATAGGCTCAACAACACAGTAACATGCCAAAATTCCAAGCACACAATTATAGTATTTCTTCCTCAAAACATATATCTGAGTTTTGGTATTGTGGAAGATGATCCATATCCGGTAGAAACACAAACCCAGAAGCACAAAGTGAGAAACAAGCACCACTAATGAGTCAATCGCACAGGGCGTGTAAGCTCCAAAGGCACCATCCACCGCTCTTTCCCAAAATCCATCTGCAACTGGCTTGCAGTACCAATTCAAGGTTTCAAAACCCATCTTTTGCAATTAAACCTTGAATACCCAAACTGAAAGAAAACAAAAAGGCATTTTCTTAATACTATACAAAAAAGACTAATACAACACACACACACAGTTTCATGCCTAAATTTAAAACCTTTAAACCAAGGCAACTATCATCAGCACAAAAGCATAAACTCCGCAACTGTCATTGATAACTACAAGCAAAAATGGACCAGTAGAATAACAAAGGATCATTTTTTATAAGCCGTAAGTGAGTTTTTTCAAGGTTCCAAGAGCATCGAACTCAGTTCTAAAAAGCTAAAACCTTTACGAAAGTCCATAAGCAGCAGTACCATAAAATTGTAGCTTTTAGTGTTTCTTAAAAGACCCAAATCAACTTGAACGCTGGTAATACAGAGAGATGAATTAGGAGGAAGAAAAAAGAATTACACTTTGGCTTCGTGATTGTTCCAATAAGACCCAAAAATTGGAGCTTTGAAAGTAATCTCATAATTCCTGAGCAAAATATATATATAGGTGAGACTTTTGGGTAGGAGAAAGCCAACTCGAGAAGCTCTTGAAAGCAGCGTAACGACGAACCAGTCACTGTTGGGTTTGATCATACATTAATCAAAGCCAAACACACTCAAACAAAGTGAAAAGATTCTCTTAGAAGATGATAAGAATCGCGAATTCCGATCTCCACATATGATATATGTATTCACGTGTGTGATTTAATTTATTAAAATAAAAACATTTATTTTATTAATCGCCATTGACGTTTGTCAGAAATAAGTGATTAGGTACAGACGTACAGTGAGTCAGTGACGAAAATTTAATCATCAAACATTAATGTAAAATGCAATTAACTAAGCTTTTATACAATATGGCTACGATTGACAAATTATTTTTAAGAATTGATAATATTTTCCTTTCATTCATAAATCATAAGCATTGGATATGTTGTTTGTTACAAAAGACAAAGTACCATCGGTCATGGCTTACGTGACACATCCCAATCAACATCTTTGTATTTGGCTTTATGTATATGTATAGTCAACTAGGTTGTATCCCATGCGCGGGGATAATACTTTCTTCTTTACAAAATATAAATTTGTATTTCAATGTATCCATTTTGTTTTTTCTTGCACAATGGTTCAAATTCTATACTCTTATTGATGGATTTGTATATAACTTTTGTGGAAAATGTCAATGACAAAATATGGTCCTGAATTGAGAAACTCTGTCAAATGGTTGTCCACGAGTTCAAAGTTCAAACCATGTTTTTTTTAGTTTACTCTAAAGATGAATTCCAATTGTGTCTATCATCCAATCCTCGGGTAAAAGGTAAACCCAACACTCTTCATTCAGCCTTACTATAGTTACACCACAATAAAATGGGCATTTTGTTCCGTGTATCCAAAGCAACACAAGTAAAATGTTCATCAAAATGGGACTTTTAGGTCAAGTAATGTAAGCTGTTAGTCGTTTACATCTCGACGTTGTCCCAGTCAAAGGATTTCCCTTCTAAATTGTAATCTGGGTGTTGCATTCGGTTCTTGGCCAATCTGCTCATCACCGCAAGCCCTGAAAGTATATTACACATTATTATTAGACCAAGAAACTTAGACATTTCGTATCAGCAAGATCTTGAGAATAACGTTTACCTTCGACCATCTTGTAAAGAGATGGCCACCACCGCTCTCTAGAGATGTCATTTTGGTTAAGAGATTCGTCAATCTCTTTATCATGCTTCCCTTCAAGAACACTGCGTAGAGTGACGACGGCGTCTTTTGTTCTCTTCAAAATACTGTTATCGTCTTCTATTTCAAGGCTTTGAAGGTCGTTGTGAGATGAAGTGAGGCTCACAGCCAAAGCAAACTGAGCAGCTGCAGCCCAACGAGAAGAAGCTTGCCATTTCTTCTGACCTTCTAAAGGTTGTGATGATTCATCTCTTGTACGCTTGTTCTCAAGTACTATACTACGTAAGTACTCAGCATTGGCAGTTCCTGTACTTTGAACCATCTTCGAGAAAGAACTTTCTCCATTTGAAAGAAGATTTTCTGGTGTACTGAATTCCTGAACCTAAGGCGTTTACATGTATATTAGTTCAAGACATTATGCAGAAGCCAGATCTCAAAAGTGAGTTTGATTAATGCAAATAGTGTAGGAAGATGAAGTTGTGCGTACTTTTCCAGAATCAAGGACGAGAACTTTGTCACAGTCGATGATGGTATTGAGACGATGAGCGATGATTAACATCGTGCATGACTTAAATTCTTCTCGGATTGTCTTTTGGATGAGTACATCAGTTCTAACGTCAACAGCAGCAGTTGCTTCATCAAGAACAAGTATCTTAGATCTTCGTAACAATGCACGTGCAAGACTTAACAACTGTCTCTGTCCAACACTGAAATTCTCTCCTGCCTCAGATACCTGATCAAACATACCGAGTTATTACTGAACACAAGAGACTTTCTAAAGAGAAAATGTTTAACTGAAGTACCTCAGCATCAAGACCAAGAGGATTTCTGCGGATAGTTTCCTTCAAGTGTGCCCTCTCAAGCGATTCCCAAAGATCGGCATCATTGTGTTCACTAAATGGGTCAAGATTGAATCTCACAGTACCTATAAAAAAATGATACTATCGGTATTATTTTGACTTTTAAGAAAGATAAACATAAGAAGCAAAAGTTTTTTAAATAAGGAATACCAGACGCAATGGGAGACGCAATGGGAGACGTACCTGAGAAAAGAACTGGCGCTTGTGGTATAATTCCGAGCACTTTACGTAGGTCCATCAGTCCAAATCTGCCAATGTCACATTCATCGATCAAGATCCTTCCTTTTTCCAGCTCCACAATCCGGAATAAGGCATTCAAGAGGCTTGATTTCCCAGCGCCTGTCCTTCCAACAATTCCCACCTTATCCATTGGAGAAATCAAGAATGAAACCCCATGAAGAACAGGAGGTAACTCAGGGCGGTAACGAAGAACAACATCCTCAAATTTTATGGATCCAGATGATGGCCATCCGGGAGGTGGCCGATTGTTTTCAATGACCAATGGAGCCTCTGATGGTATCTCAATATAATTTCCAACACGCTCAACCGAGTTTAAACTATTCTCAGCTAGACTGGCAAGTCTCAGTACAGCTGTTAAGGAGCTGGTGATACTTAGAGCATAACTGAGAAGTAAACCCATCGTAGATGCAAATGCTTGTTGGTTCTCTGCCCTTCCATTCTGCATGACAGCTAATGATGCAGTCAACCAAACCATGAGACCTCCCAAAACTTCCAAACGGATTCCCAGCCACCGATTTGCAGCCATGTTTACAAGTGTGAATCTGATGTTATTATCCATTGACCTTCCATTAATTTCAGCCATCCTATCATATGCTTTATAAGCACGGATACTAGAGAGTCCATTCAATGCCTCTCCAAATTGAGCATAAACTGGCGATCTTGTAGTGGAATCCATACGTTTAATTTCACGAGATGTGTTCTACAATAAGGAAAAAACAGGTTACCACACAACAGATACTGGATTTTTTTTGCTGACAGCTAAGATTAGAGGACTGATGTACCAAAGACGGGAAAACTTTAATAATCATGAAAACTCTAAGTCTAATGTGAAAAATGCAGAGTATAACAGAAGACTAAACACTATCTGTGTTCCTTTTGGTCTCAGTTTTTGATGTCTCAATCTGTATTCTCCTAAATATTTATGAATTGAGAAAGAGTCTAAAAGGTATGTTACCTGGTAATACAGATAAGCTCCATAGAACACGATCAACAGTGGCATGATGGCCCACAAGGACAGAGTACTGACAATGCCAATCAAGATAACAGTTGAAAGAAGCTGTGCAATTGAACCCATAAACATGTTTACAAAGACTGCCACAGTTCGATCAATATCACCCATATCTTTTGCAAATCGATTGATTATCCGTCCTAATGGATTAGTTTGAAAGAAGACCATTGGAGCCCTTAAAATGGAACCAAGCATAGCATCATGCATCTTTTTAGCTGCATATAGACTGGACATAATCAACCAATATGAATTGATCAATGTCACAGAGACCTGAAAAAAACAAAAAGAGACAATCTTAGCACAAAGATCTCTGTAACCCTTTCTTCTCCATTTTTTTTTCCCAATACTTTGGCGGAGAAGAAACATGGTGTGTTTTTTCTTAACTGATCTGCCTTTAATGTTCAGTAAATATATTGTTATGCGATCATGAGTCTGTAAGTTAACGACTCAAACAATTACGAAATGCAACTCCTACCTGCCCAAAAGAAAGAAGCGCATAGACAATATTATAGAATAGGGGTCCATGAGTCTTTGGAGTTCCTGCATCAGTCCACTCACTCAACCAAGTACTGCTTGAAACCCGGAATACTTGAGTCAAGACGTAGCATATAAGGAGCATCATCACTACCCATGCACCTCCAAGTGCATTCTGGTACCTGGAACACCTCACTACTCATTAATATGACCTTTAAATACTAAGCTTAGCAAGGAAACATGACTAGGAGGTGTCAAACAATGTATGTCCATTTTACAGAAAAAAGACACCACAGATAAATTGGCATATTGCTGAAACAAAAAGTATGCGTCGTATTTACAGATATTTGCACTATTGGTAGAACAGAAAAGGAGTACCCCAATAACACAAAAAGAAAGAGCAAAAGTCGAAAGGCCAACTTACCTCTCCAGGACTTTCCAACTCACAACTCCAGTTTCACGTTCTTCTCGCTTGACAAGCACAGAGTTTCCTTCTTTGGATTTCTTTGTCTCGCCTCCATCCTTCTGGAGATTATTGGTGTTTCCATTTTCAACTGGTTTTACAGACGTTTGATCTGCTTCCGCTTCTCCATTTTCTTCTGAATATTCTTCAACCTTCCCTGCATTTTCCATTAACCTCTGGAACAATGGGCCACTATTGCACAATTCTTCATATGTTCCTTCCTCTTTTATTGTTCCCTCATGGACAAGAAGAATTTTATCCACTTGTGATAGGAAGTGGAGCTGGTTTGTAACAAGTACTCTCGTTTTCTGTCCTAGTTCTCTTTTTATGCATTTTTCAAAAACCTATACATAACAGCCAGTTTCGAATATCAGGTGACAACGGTTGCTTAAAAGCAGTTATATTGGAGAGATCTGTGGCAAACACGAAGAATATCCATGCAGATTGGAACAAAACGTAATAGAATTCAAGATTTGCAAGATTGAAAGATAACAAAGTATCGTTGTATCTGAAAGAGCATATGGCTAGTTTACCTGCTGACCAACATGCGCATCAAGGGCACTCAATGGGTCATCTAAGATGCACACATCGGAATTTGAGTAAACGGCCCTGGCCATAGAAACCCTCTGCTTTTGTCCCCCACTGATGTTAACACCCCTTTCTCCAATCTCCGTGAGATCACCACCCTATCAATCAAGAGAAAGAATAGGAAATAAACTTAGATACCTGAGAACTAGAAGAGAGAAGCCATGCTATCAAAGGATCTGATGCAATTCAGTTTTTTTCGATTTACATCGCACCAACAAATTTCATGGTTCGTTTCACCAAAGGAAAATTTCGATGCACATGGCAAAGGAATTCTCCACAAAACTTACGGGAAGTAACTCAAGGTCATGCGTCAGTGCTGTCACATCAATCACCCTTTCATATTTCTCTTGGTCAAAAGGAGCCCCAAACAATATATTGTCACGTACCTACGGAATGTAGATTACAATGATCAGCTCAAAATCACATATATTATTATATACAACACATATAATACCATACAAAATTTGTATCATGCCAAGAGGAGAATTTGACGTTTTCACAGTGAGAACCGTACTATAAACACAGCAGCATATATGAACTTACTGTTGCGTTAAAGATCCATGAAACTTGTGGAACATAAGCGACTGATCCTCTAAGAGAAACTGTAGCATCAGATCTTGCAGGAAGTTCCCCAAGCATAGCAGATATCAGGGAGGTTTTTCCTTCTCCTGTACTGCCAACCACCGCAACTAGGCTGCCAAGAGGTATGTCCAAGTTGATGTTTGACAAGGTTGGCCTATCCGCCTGCACATGTATATTTCTAGCTCACGTTTTGTACTTCAATGACAATATGTAATAACGGAAACTAGAAGACATAAGAACATGGGATAAAATAGACAAAGAAGACCTTTGAATCCCAGGAGAAGTATCCATTTCTTATTGAGATAGCTGGCTGTCCAGGTTCAATGGGAGGATTTGGTAAGAGAACTCTCTCTTCCGTCGATAGTACCTCCTCCAAACGGTTCAAGGATACATTAGCATTTACCATCTACAAAAGTAAAGCTTGGTCAGCAACTGCAAAAATATATTATGACAATGATATCGCATTATGAATACTGGACATGAATACATGATTCAAGAAATATTTTTAAAAAATCACCTGAGTTATAATGTTCGGAAGCATAAATAAAGGAAAACGAAGCACAGAAAATAGAGAAAGTGACGTAAACGCTCTTGCAGGTGTCAGATCTCCTCCAAGCAATGAGAAGACACCAAATGAAACAACAGTCACGAAGACAGGAATGCTGTTTAGTATGAACATATTGAACTGCAGAACAAATAGAAAGACCACAAATGAGTCAGAAATTTACCAGGAAAGGAAAAAATTGAAATACATTAATGCAATGTATGTTAACGCATGCTGCTACACATGGCCGCAACAATTGAAACAATGTTTCGCTGAACTACAAAAGTAGAGAAAATGCCCTAAACACATCTTGATTCGTGATGGATACCATTCTCAAATAGTCAAAGTTAATTAGACGAGCAGTTTGGATTTGTCTTTATATACAACCATACTGTTAGGAGAGCGACAAGTATATGACCAAGACAACTATTCACACTATGCATCCAATCTATAGAAGTAATTAATATTTATTAGTCATTGCGCTTAAAGCCATACCGCTGACAGGAGTTGTGCTTTTCTGAACCAAGATAATTCGTCATCACGTACAGTTTGAACCTTGGACTGGAAACTGTTTTCCCAAGCATAACACCTACAGTATATTGGTTTAGTTGGTTAAAACATTGCCTCAAACATCCAACTATGCAAAAAAAGAAACATCAGGTTCCAGTGATCCAAAGTATCGTACTTCACTGTATCCATTGCGGCTAAAACCTCATTCATTAGGCCTATTCTCTTGTCAGTACGCTGCAACCCTTCTTTTGTTAACTTTTGTGTTTTGCTTATAATAACAGTCTGGTTCAAAAATAAAAATGAATCATAGTCATTGATCTGAAAAATAATTGAGGTGCTGAGGAGAGAAGCAGAGATAATTGGGAAACAAATAAGAAATAAGCACCCATTAAATTAACAATATAATGAGTAATTATAAAGATATAAGAACCTGTATAGGGAACATAAGAACTAGAAACAATGCACCGATGATCGAGGCAACACCCAATTGTTGGTAGAGGAGAACCAGCGCTACAATTATACGAAATGGTGCTGACCACATGGTATGAAGTGATTGGCAGATTTGCTGTCACAAACAGGAGAAAATTTAGGAATAAGAACAGCTATCACCTAGGTAAACACTTCGATTGCAAGCCAAAGCTTAGGTAAAAGCATTGTCTTAGATTCCTTGATCTTATAATTAGCTTTCAGATTCATTCCACAACTTACAAGAACAGGATTATTTTGGTAAATTGCATATGAAACTCATATTTTGAGGTAGATATACAACTATGCCGTAAAAACTAATATTAAAAAACAGACAAAGCTAAGGAGGGAAAAGGCAACAAAGATAATTAATATACCTGCAGCGACTCAGCATCAGTCGTCATTAAGTTTGTTATTTTTCCTGTTTGAAACTTCTTACGGCCCTCATTAGTTAGCCTCAATGATTTTCGGAACACAGCAGCAATCTATTAAGGGAGGAAGTCATCAGGAAATAAGCAATCTAAAAGCATCTGTTATAGTTTTCAACAAACAAATCAGTAGAAGTTTTGAATGAAAACGTGAGAAGCATAGCAACAACAAAAAAAAAATGAAGTAACAAAAGATAAATGATATGAAACTTCATCTTACCAGTGCAGACCTTAGCCGGTAACCAACACGCATCACATTTTGGAAATATTGAGCTTCACATAGAACCCCTAATACCTGAAATTGTCAACATTCAACATTAAGCGCTTAAGGCGTCTCTTTGTCAAAGTCTCACCCTGACTATCAAACAAAACCCCTTAAAAATGCAAAATTATTATTAAAAAAAAATACAAAAACTACCAACTCTCGGATCAGACAGAGATTATACCCAGCTTTAAAAAGAAAAACTGGTGCTACAAGTCGTAGAATCTATTGTAGATCAATATTACCAGGAAGTACTAGCAAAAGAGAAATGAGGCCACGGAAAGAAGAGATTTGTTTCATATCCCTCCAACAAAGATTGAGAATGCATAGATATATCCTTTGAAGTCCATGCAAGAGATAAAAAAAAAAGGGAAGAAAAGGTAATTTGTTGCATACCACTCCAACAAAGATTGAGATTGCGTAGATGTAACCTATCCATGCTGGTTCATTAAGTTGCATTGACTGCAAAAAAAATTAAGACCACATTAAGAGATATCGTCAGAATGTAATATCCAAAGGATGATATGAATGTGAATCTACCAAGAGCGTTTAAATAGCCAGTAGAGATATGTATCCATCTGAGCGATCCATGTGAATGGCCCAATTACACAGCATTTTGTAGCACAATGTGCACTGGGAAAAAAAGAAATTAGAAAGGAACAAACCTTTAGGAGCTCATTAAGTAGAAGAGGCCCCACGAATTGTGAACAGTCATTCCCTATCTAAAATACAATGTAGATTAAAGGGTCAAAATACACATAATGTAGGACATATAAGACCTTCAAAGCCATCACTATATCAAATTGACAAAGAAAAAGACTGTTGCGAAATAATGTTTAATAAACACAAGAAAGAGAAACAAAAGTACCTTCCAGAACCCACCCCACCAAAACCTACAAAACGCATAAACAGGTTTCCATAAGACAAACAGTTCATAAGGATGAGATATATTTAGCATATTACGACCAGAAAAGTAACACATTTATTATCCAAGTCGACATGCATTAAACTATTACGGCCATAAGAGGTTTTTCAGTCTCTAGTTGTTCATGCACAAACTATTACGGCCAAATGCTTCCCTTTAAAATTACATATACTGACAAAGCCCAAATACTCATATCATATTTTCCAAAGAGCACATGACTGCAAAGATGTTTCTCCTTACCTTCCCCCAAGGCTGCTATTCAGTGCTCTCAAGAGCCATGGTTTGGGCTTTTCTAGTTCCTTATCCCAGGACATCTGGAAGCTAAAAAAAGGAGATGAAATTTTATCACACAACATGCCAGTCATAGACATTATTATAACAATTATTATTTATCAGAAAAAAAAAATACCTCCTCATGAGAGTTTCAGTTTTATCCCAAGTGTCCAGATGCCATACATCCTTCTCCGTGAGAGGCCGTTTTGATCCCAAAGTCATCAACGGATTCAACCATGAAAAGAAGATTCCTATGGGGTAAAAATAGATTGGTAAGGTACATAATAGTCAAAGTTCAACAAATTTTGAAGGATCTACAATACAAGATGTTGGGGTTTAGTCAAAGAGATGATCACTAACTTCGGTCTCACAGTCACATTTCAGTTTCCTAAGTTCATTTCTATGGAGAATGGAAGAAGTAAAAAGAAACTGAAAAGACTATAGACAACTCGCTGTTTAGGTGAAAACACTTATAAAGACCAGATACCAACTATTCGCACTCCATAAGAAATATACTGATTCAGGGAAATATTTAACCTCAGAAGAAATTCCAACCTAGATAGATAGTAAGTGCAGAAAAGTGATCAGAGATGCTGTGGTGATTCTCACAATAAAATAGATGCATATACATAACCAAACTTAAAAGATGGGAATGGGAAATGTAGAGTGACATACTGTCAAATAGATTCGCATGCCTCTCAGGACATATATTTTCTCCTCCAGGAAGCTCTTCATACTCGTCATCCTCTGAATTTTCAGTCCGCACTGGTGTGTAACCAGGATAGGGATCCAAATTAGGGAAATACACAAACAAGAGAATTCCAAATGCAACCTGGATCCAAAAGCCACCCTCAACGTCATTATCAAAAGACAAGTGTATCCTCTATAGTCTGATTTAGACACAGCTAAAGAGCAGTTTGCAAAAAAGAGTCCAAATGTGCAAACCTGAACTGCCACCTCGCTTATGTAAAGATACAGTTTAAAACTGCAGAAAGAAAAAACATGAAACATGTAAGTTAATCCTGCCAGACCAGGGCAACGAATTTTCCATAAACCACATAGAGTGCAAATTTACCAACCTGTCATAGTACTCCTTGACTGAGAGAACAAGATTTAACAACACCATGTCTCCCACAAGAGCGTAAATGACAGCAAATCTGACATACCAACGGAGTTCATGGATATATGTTTTAGTTTCCACAACAGTCATAACCAATGCAGAACCCCAAGCAAAAGCCTCAAGGACCAACATGAACGCCTGTAAAAGAAAGCACAAAACAACAGCATCTTTCAGGCAAAACAGAAAAAAAAAAAGCAAAGCATAGGAGCAGGAAAAGCAAGTGACTACACACACACCTCATACGGAGGGAAGCCAGCACCATCCAAATCCAAGACTGAGACCCTCATGACCAATCTAAACAAAGGCTCAGCAGTACCATAAGCAGCGAAAAGAGCCAGGAAATAGTTATACCATTTAGACCTCAAGGAGAACTTGACAACTTTGTGATCCTTGTAAATGAGCCATAAGCGATAAAGACACAGGATCAACAGAACCAGATGAGAGATGCCAAGCACAAAAGAGTCAATAGCACAAGGCGTGTATGCACCAAATGCATAATCCACTGTCTTTGTCCACACACCATTCGGCACGGGCTTGCAATACCAATCCAACGGCTCAAACCCCATCTTCTTCCTCAATACACAAAAACACAAAATCCCCTGCTTTTGAAGTTTATCCCCTCAAAACACTACACATCACAAGTAACTTAACAATCCTCCAATCTGCAATCAAAAGAATACAGAAATCAATAAATATGTGGTAACGAACTCAATGGAAACCAAATTACTATTATCGAGAAAAAAAAGTTGGGAAAAAGGCTTTATGTCATATAAGTGGAGGAGATAAGACTTTTATCCCAAAAGAAGGAAGAACAGAGACAAGCACCAACCACAAGTCAACAGTAAAAAAGGCATAGATTCTCATAAAACTCAGGACAGAAAACTAAAAACAAAAACAAATAATCATCAAATAGAAGATGATAACTCGCAAGTTTCTCTTCTATCCCCAGAAGAAGAAAAAACAAAATCTACAAAAGTCGTGAGATGGCTCTCTCTCTATCAATGAACAGTAATCGATTCGTTAGAAACTTCTTCGCCGCTGTACCGATCAAACGTAAAGCAAATAAGGAGAAAAAAACACAAAAACCTCGAGAGTGAAATCTCGCCGCCGGAGATTCGGATAATAATCAGGAAGACGTAAACGGAAGAATCTTTTATGAGCTCATTTCTGGCCGGAGAAAATGTGACTCTCTCTCTTTGGCAGCTTCTGAAAGAGAGAGATGAGATTTATAGGGACGATGGAAATGGGTGCGTCACTGCTTACAATTATAAGAAGAAGAAGGAGAAGAGAGAGATCCATACATATTTGGAGATTTAAGCCCCAAAAAGTCAAAAAAGTTTCATAAGTAAAACAATCACCTTTTCTCTTCTTTCTTTTTATAATTTTCTTACACACAGGGAAATAAAAAAAAATCAAATGGGATGATGAATTAGGTAAATAACTAATAAAAAAAAGTCTATATTAGGCAAAATAACTTTAAAGTTTGTTATTTGATTTACAAAATATGTTTAAATAATAATTATTATATTTCTGTTGTATACATTTATGATTTAATCCAATTTTTAGTATATTTCTGGAAAGGATAAAAAAGGTAATGATTATATCTTAAACTTTAATTAGAAATTATAAGTATTTAATATGACTAAGACTAACCAAACAAAATGCACTGAAAATCTAGGTGTGATGTAAAGTGATAATAATAATTTTGTTGATGGTCCAAGTTTACAATTTTTTTACAAATGATATTGAATATATATATTCGAAATCCAACGAACATTATTGGTTCAAATCATTTTAACGATTACTAGTATGTTTCGTAATATTTACTTAGCTAGCTATCACATAAAAGAAACAAATAGTGTATATAGACTTTTCCTAATCCATAAGATAATAAAACTATTAAAAAATAGCAAGTCAGTACCCAAAAAAAAAGATGAAAGCACGACTTCTCTGTGTAGGTCACACAAGTAATTTAGACCACCAAATTTCAACTCACTGTCCAAATGTTTTCCAGGATAGGGTCACACGAAAATTCAAAAGAAGTGTACGTAAACTTTTGTAAGAAAATTCAAAAAACATTCGGATTCAAGAAACAATCATCATTCAACTCGCAATATGCATTATTGGCTCATTGGCTCATTGGACTAGCAGTGGAGAAATAAAAGGTCATCAAAGGTAGGTGTAACATTTTTATAATTTCAACCAAATGGTCCACGAACAGAAGATGATGACGCAATGAATGAGAGAACAGAGAAGGATCCGAGATATTAATATGTAAACGACACTTACACTTACACTTATTACACTAGTGTATCTCTTTTATTTTTTTATCATCTTGGCTTTCTCTTTTTGGCAATGCCTGGCCTGCTTTCGATTTGAATACCCCAAACTCAAGACAAATTTTGTCTTTTTCCCCATTAATTTTTATAACCATTAAATTACAAACAGAAACTAAAGTAACATTTGTCGAACTCAACTGATCAGTTCAAGTTTCAGTTTATATAGCACAGTTTTGACTTTTGAAACTTCTCATCTTCTTTCAGTTTTAAAATTTATTTACTAAGTGGCCAAAAGTTTTTAATTCCTCATTGTGAGATCATAGAAACGCCTCTTGACGCTAGCTAGATCCGACTATGACTCCCAAGTGTTTTTGCACATGCACTATATTAACTAACATACCTGAATTAAAATTCTATGAAATAGTACTCGATACAATACACTACATCGATCGAGTACAATGAACTCTTTTCCAAAAAAATTATTAGATATTTGTTTCAAACTCGAATAAATTGGCAGGAAAGGTCCGACTAATTCAAGTTCAACAATATAAGCAGAATTTTTTGTATACACTAAAGATCAAACAGGAAACTGTGAATTAAAAGACTTCATACTTTTAGTTTTAAGATCCAATAACAATGTATGTATTACCACGCATGTATGTTGTCTTTGGCATGTTTCTTATATATGGAAATTTTTGTTGCTTCTCTACGACATGAGAAACTGAGAGAAGTTTACTTCAAAGATACATACAAATTTATGGGCCTAGCTAACCTTAATTCTTATTGGCTCTATCTCGTATTCTAGGCTACAATATTCCCGTGAAGTTAGATGTGAAAACCAACCAAGTATAAAATAAAGTAGTAGTAGTTGATGAATGTTAAATTGTAACTAATCCAAATATCATAAAATCATCATCTAAGTAAAGTGGCCTTCAAATGTACTCCATCACAGGCGACCTAAGAATAACATTGTCATTCTATATATAAAATTTATATATCTACTTAATTAATTGAATGGTGTATATAATCTATTTAGCTAACTCACAAGTCGTTGATTACTTTATATAACTCCATGAGTCAGCTTGACGACTCGTTTTAACATACGAGTCTAAAACTATAGCTTTCAACTCTTTATAAAGTCAACATAAACTGAGTAATCTTCCAAGTTAACGAGACTCATTTTGACATTATCTACTATTAAGTATGTTGTTTATATCTTCGAATATGGAGCCCAAGTTGAGCACTAGAGTAAACCAATAATGGAGGACACATAAGAAAGTAATAGTTATGTCTGACCATGTTTATTTTCCTAATACCGAAACAACTATGTATCATTAACATCAGTACCCAAGTTCCAACTATAACATAATGCATATTTAGATCAAAAGACTTTTAAAAACTAAAGTGAACTCTATCACAATCTATCAAACTTTTTGGAAGATTATCTCCAGACTCCATCATCAATTATTATCTGATATGACAAAACTAATCAAACATGGATATGATCAACAAGCCTAACAAAAACACATCTATTTGAGAGAATGAAATGCGAGCTAAAAATGTTATAAACATAAAGACTTGCAACTTTCATTAGATCTCCCTCCTCCCTCTTGTCCATCATGAGAACATTGTTATAAAAATCTACACATTTTACATATTCAAATAAAAAAGAGAGCTTCAAACAAATTTAAATAGCACCGATGTTCTTGAGGCCGAGGACAACTCCAACGCCGATGATATGACCAACGGTACCACAAGCCAATGTGTCGGCCAGCGTGAACCCGGCTGGGTCACCAGTTTGTAGACCAGAGTCACGTGCCTCTAGCCTAAGTCCAGCTGTCGCCTTCCTATTGGCTGATGGCGCTAGTCCGAATCTCCCCGCGAACAGCATCAGCGTTGTCGATGTTACCATGATCTAATCAACGTAATTAAATCATTGCTTAAACCTTAATTAGTGTCAATTTAAATTTGTTCTATCTCTTTAATTTAGTTACCAGATTCGTTGATGAACCAATGAAGTCACACTTGGCACCCAAAGCTCCCGTTCCCTTGCGTCTCATGGACTGAACAGCCTAGGAGAATTATTAAAAAAATATTTCATATAATGAACTTCAGTATTTAATTGCATTGTGATATAAGATTTCAAATCCGTTACTTTTTAGTCTATAACATATCAAATTCCAAGAAATAATTGACCCCAAGAAATTAAAGAACATCAAGTGACACTTTTCATTATCTTAAACAGGATCTTAAATCAAGAAAAGTTGAAAACTAACCAGGCCTTGAACAGGGGCTGCAGAGATCTTGGTGGCACGAAGACCATTGAACTGTGGCAATGTAGTCATCACAGTGCTCGCCATTTTTCTTAGTTGAATCTAAAAAACTCTTTTTTTATGTTTTCTTGTACTATCAGATTTCTTGTATTTTCGCAGTTTTGTTCTTCTTACAGACTTTAAAATGATTTAGCCAAGAATCATCGTGTGGCTTTGGTGATCACAGAAATGGATTCTGTTTAGGTTACTTCTTGCTGACTCGTCGAGTGTCTATTGGCGGATTTTAACTCTGGATAAGGCTGTCTCATCATCTTCTTCAGAACCTTTCTCATATGGGCTTTCATTCAGGCCCATTTATACTCGCTAAATCTCAGCACAAATACTTGAACTTAAAATACCATTTTTTGTGGACTTCAAGAGAGTATGGTTAACGAAAACGTCATTTGAACTTAAAATACCATATCTTGTGGACTTCAAGAGAGTATGGTTTAAAGAAAACATAAATTACATTTGGAAACAATCGAATCATACATACATATATGGTGTTATAATATTCTCAACCACTCTACACATGACTATAGGAAAGCTAGTATCTAGTACTGTAGGGCTTAGTAGTAGTACTCTTGTAATTGTGACAAGATACGAAGGGTAAGACTGAGAATAGGAAGATGTCTTATCAAAACTATCATTGACATGCAGAGGAACTTGCCGTGAAGAACACTTTCGAGTTTGGTCAATTTTGTGAATTACGTTTTTCAAACCAACCGTACACATCCATGAACTATATACTTGGTCAATCCGTTCCTTTCTGGTACATTAATATCAACTTGACATTCTTATCCACAATAATCATCAAACTTATTCAACCGTACTTCAAGTCCACTTCGATCTCATGTTATTTTAAATGCAAGTTCCAAATTATATGTCTAAAGACTCTAAACTAAACAAAAAAACACCCTAAAATTGAGTCGTTTTTATCCGATGACACTATGAGTATGACTGGTATGCCAAAAAAAAATGAATAATTGATGACAAATCAAAGTAATCTAGATAGAATTTATGTAAAAATAACTATACAAATTTTAAAAGCTAAATTTATTAGATTGATTACGTCTAACTTTATTATATAGTTATATCTTCAACATGATATATTATATAGCAGGTTCAACTTCTAAAAAGCTAGCATAATCATAACAATTGATATACGATTCATCCTTTTCGGAAAGATTAAATTCTCACCGAATTTTAAATTGAATCAACAAGTCATGATCATCCCGGTTGGTCTGAAACGTACGTCAAACTACGTACATTTAATAACAATTATTTCTTGATATTCATAGAATATACGTGGACCCGTTTATTACGAAAAAATTTGAAGTTATATGACCTAACACAAAAGCCGACACAGTAGACTCTTCTAAGTTCTAAGATTTGATTTATATTCCTAACAAGTAATCATATTGTGTTGTAGCAGCCGTAGTTGTTTAGTCCTTAAGCTGCCAAAGAATAAATCATAAAAAAAACTAACACCATGGCGTATTATTATTACTTTGACCAACTAGATCATTTTTTAGAAAATGAGATGTGTTTTGACTTTAATTAAACCTTTTCAACAGAGGAAATTTAGATTATGATATCGATCTGGTTAGTTTACCTGAACCGGGATTCTGATTCAATTAGCGACAACCAACCACTTCGCTTACTCACACATATAAAACTAAACCGAACAATGTAGCTAAACCGGGTCAACCATTTATTCTTCTTCTTCGCATGTGAGTATCTTCCCAGAAGTAACATATATGCGCGTGTGATTGTATTCTTCGTATATATATAAATAACTCATAGATATCGTTTCTTAAGCACATCGAACACATCACAACTTTAATCATAATCATTACCTGAAATACATATTATCGTATCCTACTGATAAACTCAGAAAATGGAGAACGCATTGGTCAAAACACCATTGAGAAAGCTAAGAAGAAGAAGAACAAAACGGGTCTGGAGATTGAAGCTGAAGCTGAAGCTGGCATGGAAGTCTATCAAGATCCGTGTCAAGTCACATCTTCCGGCTTTCTTGGCCAACAAGAAACACTTCTTACACATTAAATCACGAAAGGAAGAACAGGATCTGTCTCAAGTGGCCCGGAGGATCTGCAAAATCTCCAACGACTCGACTAAATCGCTGGCGTTTTTGCTTCAGCTTCCTAAATACTCTGCCGCGGATTTCCTGGACCGTGGTGATCTGATGACTCCAGCTGCCTCTCCAAGGGAGAACATATCCAAAATGTGGCGTGAGCTTCACGGTAGCAACAATTGGGTGAATCTTCTCGATCCTCTGCATCCTTGGCTGAGGAGAGAAGTCACCAAATATGGAGAATTTGTTGAATCCGTCTACGATTCACTCGACTTTGATCCTTTGTCCGAGTTCTGCGGAAGCTCTAGGTACAATAGGAACAAACTCTTCGAAGAGCTTGGTTTAACCAAACATGGTTACAAGGTAACCAAATTCATCTACGCGATGTCTCATGTCGATGTTCCTCAGTGGTTCTTGAGCTCATCTGTGGGAGAGACATGGAGCAAAGATTCGAACTGGATGGGGTTTGTAGCTGTGAGTGGAGACAGAGAGTCGTTGAGGATCGGTCGGAGAGACATTGTTGTGGCGTGGCGTGGAACCGTGACTCCCACGGAATGGGTCATGGATCTTAGAACGAGTAAAGAGCCGTTCGATTGCAAGGAACAACATGGGAAGAACGTGGTCAAGGTCCAAAGTGGATTTTTTAGTATCTATACCTCAAAAAGCGAACTCACACGGTACAATAAAGAGAGCGCATCTGAGCAGACGATGGAGGAAGTGAAGCGGCTAGTGAAGTTTTTTAAGGGTAGAGGCGAAGAGGTGAGCCTAACCGTGACTGGCCATAGCCTTGGAGGTGCGTTGGCGCTTATGAATGCTTATGAGGCGGCTAGAGATGTTCCAGAGTTATCTGGTAACGTTTCAGTATTCTCGTTTGGTGCGCCAAGAGTAGGTAACTTGGCATTCAAAGAAAGGCTTAACAGTTTAGGTGTCAAGGTGTTGCGTGTGGTGAACAAGCAAGACATTGTCCCTAAGCTTCCTGGTATCGTGTTCAACAAGGTTCTAAACAAACTTAACCCGATAACTTCAAGGTTCAATTGGGTCTACAGGCACGTTGGAACACAGCTAAAGCTCGATGTATTCAGTTCGCCTTACGTAAAACAGGATTCGGACTTAGGGAGGTCTCATAACCTCGAGGTATATCTCCATGTTTTGGATGGCTTCCACAGCAAGAAATCAGGGTTTAGGGTGAACGCGAGGAGAGACGTTGCTTCTGTGAACAAGAGCACAGATATGTTGTTGGAGCATCTAAGAATACCTGAGTGTTGGTACCAAGTGGCACATAAGGGTCTGATCCTCAACAAGCAGACTGGCCGGTGGGTGAAGCCGGTCCGTGCGCCAGAAGACATTCCATCTCCCTTATCGACCGGACCAAAACCGATTTATAGCTTATGAGAAATTAATCAGTTTCCATTCCATTCATTCATTCGTTTCTTGAATTGTTTTTCTTGCGAATTTTGATTAGAACAGTTCTAGTCGATCAACATAGATCAAGTTGTGACAATAACGTATATATGTTTGAAGCTATATTAAATACATGTTTGCACCAGCTAAAGAAGACAGAACGTGTGTCAGTGTGACAGATAAGAAATATTAAACCTTACAGATATGTTAAAGTTTCTAAACTAACAAACAAATTAACCCAATAGAAGTTGCGGAATTTTCAAAAACAAATGCTAAATTGATGTTGTCTTGTTGATCTTATGAACCAACCAGATTCGATCCTTTTTTAAAAAAATAATAGAAAGTAGAAGAATGATAATGATTGACAAATCAAGTTGATGTTTAAAAGTAGCTAACAAAGTTACAAGTTACAACAACCCAAGAACACATACAATGAAGAATCCTAAGCAAACCCTAAAAAATTCACACACATAACAATAAAGAGCTTCTAAAAAAAACCAACAAAACAAATCTGTGAGATAATTTGGGACTGGTTTCAAATTTTAAGCGGCTGATATTGCATTGAAGTCTTGATAACGAGACATCGCACCTTTGAATTCGTGTTCTTCTGCTTTGTGAGTGCTCAAGCTATGTGGAATGTATGCTCTGAATATCTCGTCGAGGTCCGGACTCTGCTTTAGCTCACGGCAAGCCACCTCGAGAGCTGTGTGTTCGAACGCTCCGTAAAACTTCTGGCGGCAAACATAACCGAAGATGAGAGAAGTGATGATGAGAGGGATCACGAGGGCCGTGTAGAAGAATGTCTTGGCTCCTAAGTAGCCAAACATTAATACTTGGAATAGAAACAAAGCTGCTAGTATACGCTGGTGAATATGCGGCCACATTCTTCCATAGCTCTCGTACGATGGAACATACACTTTCAACGCCTGTCATACCCCGAAATAAAACCGTTCAAGATCACATTATTAATCTGTTTAAACCTAAGTTTTTATGGGTATAGTATTAGGGAGAAAGTCTGACCTGATTCCTAAGGACAAGCCAGCCTAAACTGAAGTAGGTGATACCGAATACGAGGATGAGAGGAGCGATTACGGAATAGCAGAACGTGATTGTGAGGATGAGCATGTCTCCTGGAACCCTAGTCTGATAGCTCAAGTCTCCCGGGTACCAAGCTTCTTTCACCTCTGCTTCGGTTTTGCATAGATACTTCTTTTTAAGATGAAAGATTATCAAAGGTATGATCCGAGACAGCTCAAGACCATAACCGATAAAAAACCTGAAATTAAAAAATTTAACAGCATAAGATTTAGAGAACAAGCGAACAATGTATATACTATTTAAGTCAAGAGGAGCAAAAACTCACTTGAGAGCAACGTAGGTCAAGAAGAAAGTCGCACTCTTAGGGAGGCTAGTAGCCAAAAGGTTAATGACCATGTCGAGTTTAGGATTTTTCGCGATATCCTTCACTGTGTTAAACAAAGTCCCTGCGAGGGTAACACCGAGGAAGACATTAAAGACCGAAAAGTAAAAGTACTTCCCCGAAGCAGCCCTGATAACATGACTCTGCGACGGAATCCCCTCGGATTTGGAGAGAAACAAGAGAAGCTTAGGCAACATCGCCAAGAAAACAATGAGCGCAATCTGAGGAAGGAAAGACTCCAGAATGGTTCTTATGAAGGCTATGTCCACAACCGGCTTTATGAACGGAATAATCTTCTGAAGATTCTTGAGAGTGGTGATTGCAGAGACAAACGCGATTGGGACCATGTAAAACAGAATGGTCAGCGCAACAACGAAGTAAATGACGTATTGCCGGAGTATTCTACTGAAGAGCTTGATATTGAGATTCTGCCATATGAGCTGGCGAGGCTCGGGAGCTTCGGTCACAGTCCATTTATCAACCATCTGGCAATGCAAAGACTGGGCAGCTGATGCTGCAGCAACCCGGGTGGTGAAGAAAACCACTGCTGCGGTTTGCTGCTTCTCAGCAAGAACTGCTTTCTGCTCTGTTTCTAGTTTGGCTACAGACTCGTTGATAAGCTCAGTGTAATACTCAATGCTGTCTACTTTTTTACCAACTAGCCCACACATGCCGGTTTTATTTGTAGGTCGGTTATTAGTCGCTGCAGATATCGCCTCTGCACGCGCAAGCTTCTTCTTGTAACCTTCCAATTTTTCCCATATCTTATTAACCTACAAATCAACAAAGAGCATAAGATTTTAAACAAATTAACAATATGATGCATAAAATTGTTAGTGCAGAACCAGAAGATACCTTGCTGTTTTCTGTCATGACTAGCGATCTGTAGAACGTCTCGGGGTATATTTCTCTGAAATAAGAATCAATGAACTCTTTCTGTGTCTGTCCATCTGGTGGAGAAGGCATATCCCTAACAAGAATAGCGAATTGCTCGGGTTTTACATCAGCAGACATCAGAGCTTGAGCTCTCAATGTAGAGACATGCTTATACGCTTTCCACAAGAAGAAATATGTGACCAAAGATACCCAGTAAACAGCTCCTAGGAACGCCCACAGCCTCGGACTTTTTTTCTGTCCAAATGATAGGACACACATTTTTACTTATCAAAACCACGATATATGAAATGGAATCAAAAGGCATAATGGAGTCTTTTGTTGTGTTAACTTACTGTGATGTTAGCCATTGATAGATTATCAAGCTGGCTAAAAGTTCCTTTGCTTGTGGTATCTGTCCCGTTCTTTACACGGGTCTTTATATTGTGGTCTGTTGCGGCTATAGGGAGTAGAGTCGGTAAAAGAAGAAGACCGGAACAAGCAAATATCCCAAGAACTGCGTCAAACAAAAAGCCAATTTCAAGACATCAGAAACAACATATCCAGAAGAAAAACTTTTCAAGCTCAAGCAAAAACCAGAGCTAGAAGAGGCAAAATTTATGTCAACTGGTTCTAATTTCAATCCCCAAGGTCAACATTTACAAAAAAAAACATAGCATAGATAACAAAATCGTCTGAACCAGAAAAATACAAACAAACAAGATAATCTTCATTTTGGAAAAAAATTTCCCCAATTGTCCCTAAAGACTGAAACTTTATTGGGTAAGATCTCAAACCCAAATCAAAACCGACAGAAATTAGCAGAATTCAACCAAACCCATAAATAGGAACCACTCTAAGAACAAACTAAAGTTGCCCAGAGAGAGAGAGAGAGAGAGATCGAACCAGTGCTCAAGAAGACAAAGTGTACGGCAGTATCGACACCAGATACGTTGACAATATCTTGTTCAGAAGAAGTGAAAGCTTCACGCATCCAAGCAAAAGGGTTACGAGTCAAGGAGGTGCCTTCCCATGGTTCCAACCCTTTAATGATCCGATTCGGGTAGTAAATCGAAACATTTCCGGATTTGCGAGAAAGCCATGTGAAGAGAAGCATGAGAACGACGAAGATAACTGCAGATGTCCCTAAGGACACGAGAAAAGATCCAAATTCCATCTGGGTTTTGCCAGATGAAGAAGCTCTCTGTTTCTTTTTTCTTCTCTCTAAATCCTCTCAAGTTTTGTAAAGTAGCAGTTTTTGAAAATGCTTAGAACAAAAAGAAGGAAAAAAAGTAACCGTTTTTAGAGAAAGAGAGAGGAAGTGAGTATCTTGGTGTTGTTGTTCTTGCTTCTTCTGGTAATTTTACAGGTGAGAGAGGACAGGCTTTTTCTCTTTTGTCCTCTTTCTTGATGTATACACAGAAAATGAAAAAGCAAAGAAGATATTTTCTAGGGTATTTTCTAGTAATTGTTTACTCTTAATATTTGTGGGTTTGTGAGTTTGTGTTGTGTAGTAATGGAGGAATCAAAAACTGTGATTAGATTAAATGGAGGGAGAAGGAGAGGTGTGAGAAGAGAGTGAAGAGCGTGTTTAAGTGAGAAGGCCGACAGGTGTCGATGATAGAGACACCAAAGGAGGTGGATTGTAATGTGTAACCCTACTTCAGGGACGTCTCTTTTACCCTATTTGTTCCTTTTTTTAACTTTTCTTTTTCTTCTTTATATGATGATATTAATTTTTCTCTTTTTGTACTTTTGAAGTTTCTATTCCTTTCTATTTTCTAGTCTTGTTTTATTTTTCAACTTGTAGTCTTGTTTTGAAAACTTTTTTACTTGTAAAAAGTAAAATCACCGGTTATTACACTTACTCGCTGTGTTACTCACTTACTGTGACATGTTTTACATATCCTTAAATAGTTTGTTTTACATTTAGTTTGTACAATTTAAAGGTTATAGGGTGACATCGGTCACATGGCAATCTTTTTGTATGAAAACATCATTTTCAAAAAGAAATCAAACTATATATTTTTCTAAGAAATCAAATCGTTTTACGTATATAACGTATTTTTTTATTAGGAATTTCAATGGAAATGTATATATAATTTCAATCAAAATTTTAAAATAAAAGAAATGAACAAGTTTAGATGTCTATATTTAAATCTAAAGAAAAGAAAAAAAAGATCTAAAGAAAATTAGAAGAAATGAAAAGAAAAAATTGGGAAGAAATATGTAATAGCTAGTAAGTGTGAGGTGTTTTTAACTTTTTATGTCATATTTGGCTGAATTGGAAATAAGAAAAAATTCTTCAATGTTTTACAAGACAAAAAAAAAAACATATATCATTATTTAACAATTATAAACACATATGTCAAATTGATGAGAAACTTTGATTCAGTACTTGCCAGCTTTCGGATTCTGTTTAGATCTGATCGTTTTTGAAAGTTTCTAGTTAAACGTTTAGAAACACTTTAATCGTCATCGTCGCATCCGGAGGTGTGTTCGAGATTCTATGTATTTCTATAAACGTTTTTTGTTTTCCGTGTTATGAGATCCTGCTATTAGATAATAATGGCCATATAGGTTGAGTATGACTAAAAGACAGAAAATAAAATGTTTAAAAAAAATTCTCTACTATTTATCAGTTCCACAAAAAAAAACTATTCAGAAACAAGAAAAACAAAAATCTTCATCTTCCTTTGGTTTTGTTGAATACTTGTGGAATATCCTCTAATATATGTTTCTCCAATGTAAGAATCCTCTCTGTTCTCATTTTTACTCCAAACATTGAACGATTATGCATGTGAGCTTTATATTCTAAACACATACCATCACAGCTTATGTGTGTGTA